GTGTCGAAGAGGAAGGTGATGGTAAATTGTTTACCAGTTTCGGTGGGTGATTCGTCTATTTCACACCCACATTTCTCACATTTTTCAATGTCAACACAATAAATGCGTGACTGTTGCGTTGGTCCTAGGCGTCAATTTTACAAATGTTATCAATTGTTCAAGTTTATTCTCCGTTTCCCCTGTTTCTAGAAAGATATCAGTCTCAAACCTTTGCAATAACTAATATTAGATTATTTAATTAGAAAGAAATAATTAAATTAAGCAGATGACGTATTGCTAATTAATGCGGAAATAAGTTTTTTTTTTCATATTTTTTTCCGCATGGAAAAGATGTTAGTTATTGATCTGGAAATTTGTTCTGCATAATTTTACATACATACCCAAGATTAGTTTTCATTTAAAATTATGTTTATAATCGTTATTTAAAATTAATTATTTTTTATTTTTAAGCAATTGTTTTTAAACATTTTGTTCATTTATATAAAATTAAATAAATGTTTTATTTTATAAATTATATAAGTTTCATTATTTTATATTGATGTAAAAATACAAAATATTTTATTTGTAAAGTGGTTATTAAAGCTCAAAGACTGTAAGATGATTATATGTATATATCAGCATGAATAAGTAGAAAACTTTATAGAACCGATAAATATTGTTTTGATTGTTATGTTCAGAACAAAGCAAACATATATATTAAAAATGCAATTATAATATTATTTCAATATCATACATTTGAAGATTCAAAACCAAAAAGAATCAAATTTCAATTTTTCACCTTTAAAATAGGTCTCATCACATGCACTACAACTATGGCACCGATCAACTCAATTCTTCTTTAAAATAGATTCCATAACATGCACTACAAAACTGCCAGCGCTTGACCCAATCCTCCATAAAATCTTTTAGACTGCTTAAGCCCATGCCTTCCATTGGTTCGAGACACCATCTTTGATATGACAATCTCATATTCGCGGAGAGAAAATAGTTGTACGGATCCATAACACTTAAGTGCGGTAGTAGTTTAAATTTTTTTTAAATAACTCTAGCCAAAAACTCTAGCCCCAGATATAAGTTAAATAAGGAATATACTCTACATCTACGTTCTCATTGTCAATCCTATGTGATATATTAATTAATTTAATTAAGCATGTCATAGATCAACATTCCAAGGAATCTAGTTTAATTATAAGAAGTCCCTCTAAATACATTTTATGCTCTCATTAAACATTTGCAAAGTTCACAGTTCTCTATTGAAGTCAAAAGACGCAAGTGTAAATTTAGCGTCCCCGTGAACGGCTAACCAAATCCAGCATATCCAGTTTCAAATAGTAAAATCATTAAATTTGACAGTTTT